GCCTGCAGTACCTCCACGTACCCCAATTTGAGAATCACTGCACTAGAGAACATAGCCTTGAGTTTTTTAAATGCAGCCTCAGCAGACCAAAGAAAAGTCCTTTTAACAGATGTAAGGGCAGTCAGAGGCTGAGCTGTCTGGCTGTAATTTCGGATGAACCTTCTGTAAAAGTTTGCAAACCCCAGAAACCTTTGTAGTTGTTTACGGTTCTCGGGAGTGGGCCAGTCCAGAACCGCCTTGATCTTGTCTTCAGACGGCTTCACCTGCCCGCCCTCGAGCACAAAACCTAGAAAGGTGACAGAAGGACGGTGAAACTCACACTTCTCAGCTTTGACAAACAGCTTGTTTTCAAGGAGTCTTTGAAGAACCAAACGGACGTGTTTCTTGTGTTCGGACAGGTTTTTGGAGTAGATCAGAATGTCATCAATATAGACAAAAACGAAGATGTTTAAAAAATCTCTCAAAACATCATTAACCCGGGCCTGGAAACAGGCAGGAGCGTTGGTTAGACCAAAAGGCATCACTAAGTACTCGAATTGGCCTAGAGGAGTTTTAAATGCAGTCTTCCATTCATCTCCTTCTCTGATTCTGAGGAGATGATAGGCGTTTCTTAAGTCCAACTTGGTGAAAACAGTGGCTCCTTGGACGGGTTCAAAGGCAGAAGCTAACAGGGGTAGAGGGTATTTATTCTTCACTGTAATTTGATTTAGACCTCTGTAATCGATACAAGGTCGCAGGGACCCATCCTTCTTTCCTACGAAGAAGAAGCCGGCCCCGAGAGAAGAAGAGGAAGGCCGAATTATACCGGCAGCTAAGGATTCATTAATGTACTTTTTCATGGTGTCTCTCTCGGGCTTGGAAATGTTATAGAGCCGACTATTTGGGAGGGGGGCTCCAGGTAACAGATCTATTGCACAGTCATAAGGTCTATGCGGGGGAAGAGAAAGCGCGCTAACCTTACTGAAAACAGGTGCTAGGTCATGGTAGTCAGGAGGTACAGAGGAAAGATCAGGCGGGTCAGCCTCCTGACGACTGGCCGGAGACTGAGTTGAAGGTGCGGCGGAGCTGAGACAGGAAACATGGCAGGATGCAGACCATGATTCAACATGTCTTTTGGACCAAATGATGTGAGGATTATGAAGTTGAAGCCACTCAAAACCAAGGACTATGGATGAACTGGCTGATGGAAACACGAAAAAAGGATATTGTTTCTCTGTGATTGCCAGAGATTAACAGTTCGAGCGGCTTAGTTTGGTGTGTGACCTGAGGTAATCTTTTACCGTGGAGGGCCGAAACTCTCAGAGGTTTATTCAAAGGAGTGGTTTCTATGTTCCATTGTTGAACCAGACTAGAGTCAATTAGATTTTTCTCACAACCAGAGTCTATCAATGCAGTAAGCGTGAGGGAATGATCTGTGAGAAACAGAGTAGCAGGTAACAGCAGGCGAGGAGATTTCTCAGTTTGAAGATGGTCCGCCAGACTCCTCTTTTCCTCTGGCGGACCCTGGCTTTTACCTTAGCTGGGCAGGTTGAAACAAAATGACCAGGTTCTCCACAGCACATGCAAAGGTTCCCCTTAAACCTTCTTAGCCTCTCCTCGGATGTGAGCCTGGTGTGACCGATCTGCATAGGCTCAACTTCAGAGGATTCTGTGGAGGGAGAGACGTAATGAGTCTTAGATACAGGGACAGATACAGGTTGATTCCGGCTTTTTGATCTGGACTCAGCTTCAGAGGAAACTGAGGAAGAAATGGTGTCATTATTCTTAGCTGCTGGGGCAGAGACAGAAAAAACATGGCTTCTAAATCTAGACTTGAATCCATAGGCGTAACTTCCTTAAGGACTGGTGTGGACATGTCCCCACCAATCTTGACCGGTAGGGGGACAGTCCCCACCAATATTTTGTACACGTATTTTGCTTTCGGTGCTGTGTATATCTGATTAAAACCCCATTCATGCCGCTCCTCAGAAAGAAAATAAAAAAAGTTCTCCCCGCTGCTCACCGTCCACAAACCCCGACAAAAAAAACTCAGAAAAAAGAATCTGTTG